GTCGCTGCCTGCCAAACTGGCAGGTAGTGTAGACAAGCCCTGTTTTACTGTGAATACCTTTCCCAGACCTGAAGAAGAGCTCTGTGTAAGCTCGAAAGTTTGACTCTTTCACCAACAGAAGTTGGTCCAATAAAAGAGATTACCTCACCTACCCTGTCTCTCTAAATTCCAGAAACTCAGAAAGACGTTGTGACCACCGTAAAACAAGCTGATTTTCAGAGAGTATGTCATACTCTTCAGTGCTGGACTCTAAATTACAATAGAATACAATGAAGTATTGTTCTCCCTTCATACCATGACCAGATCTTTTGCCTTTAAAGTTCTCAACCATGCAGCCAGTAATTAACATCACCCATTCTTGCTGTTTTTTTTTAAATAAAAAAAAGTCTTGTATGAAGAAAAAGAATAGACTCTTCAGTAAAAAGGAAAATGGATAGTGTTAGCAATGCACATATCTTCTCTATACATTTCTACTGTCAAAGACAGTCAGCAGTGGCGTAGCTGCAGACTATTCATTATATAAATAAAAGTTTGCCTTCTCTGGTAAACTGGAGGACCTCAGTGACAGGTATACATTGCAAGTGACTAATAAAGCATTTCTACTTTCAATAGTTTGCGGTTGATTTATAAGTACACATTTCCAATAATACGATTAACATTAACTGGATTTGTATATTGGATGGAACGTAAACAGCTCTAGGGAAAAGGGAGAATCTCTTATCGGAGGACACTCACCCAGACCAGAACATAAGTTTAAGTGTATATGGCACAGCTCCAAGGTTTAATAGAAAACCATAGTACAAAAATCAAAACATTTACCTTCTTATGCCACTGAAAATGTATCCTCCCAAAAAAAGACTTCAGAGGAAAAAAACAGCTATGAAGAAATAACAGAGAGGGAGAATGAGATGAAGGTATAAGCAAAGGAGAAAAGCTACACCAAATTTGAAAATGGAGTAAATGAGGTGTAGAGATACAAGAAGACATTTTTAGATGCAGAAGATAAGAGGGATAAGGGTGTTAGAAAGCACAGCAGATTAAGCTTAGCAAGGAAAGAGAAAAGGCTGGTGATAGATGAGCAGAGAATGGCATGAGTAGATAGAGGAAAAAGTCAATGAAGTAGGCTGAAGCAAGGCAATTTTAGGACAGTTTTCAGTCAGCCCCTAACATGAATGGGGAGCCAGTGAAGCTGAGTATTGGGTGGTGCTGACTAACGTTTTTATGCTTCTTTGACAACCATATATAAAAAACAGGCAGCAGCAGCATGCTGAACATACAAGAGACACAAAATCTCAAAGTACAGTATTCACTTGAGAAAGGGCCAAAATGCAAATCAAGAATACAGATGCCAACTTCCTGAAGTTAGAGGAGTTAGTATCTGTAGTAGTAGACCCAGCTCTCAACATTTTTAGCAATCTGGATGCCTAACTGGGAAGAAGGAGAGGGAAAACAACTCATTTCCCCCATATTGTCAACAGTCCTTAAAGTGGTCTGAAAAAAAGCATGTGGGGATCTGTCATAATCTGGGAGCAACAGTTTTGGTAAAGTGTTTTACCAGAAAGAATGGACCCAAAGAGTGGACCCCCTTGGCGACCCAGCTCAATTTCCCCCCCTTTTTCCTGTGTCAGCCACCCCCTTGCAACACACCTCATTATAAGCACTGAATGTCACAGCTCCAAAGGACATCAATAACAACTATTTATGAGTTGTAACAATTTCTAGAAAATTGACATTTTAATTTTCAATCTCAACAATATGAGTAAAATAAAATCCAGCAGAAAACATTAATAAAATTAGCCAACACAGACTAAATGTTAAAGCTTGGTCTGTTGTTGCTACTGAACCAGTCCTGGAAGCATAGCAAGCTCTGCATATTAGTTCTTTAAAAAAACCTTTCAGACATAAGACAATTGATATTCGTTTAAATTCAGAGATGGCAAACCATAAAAAGTGATTCAAGTTATTGACACCTTTACACTTTAAAGCAGGGGATAACTGATATTGCATTGGAACATTCTATGTCCTGTTTAGTGGTTCTAATCAGCTGCAGACAGAGATCTACGAAGTATCTGTTTGACTGATTTTGAATTCTGCAAAGATGCACTTCCTACAGAGCTTTTCATTGCCTCTGTTTAAACAAATAAAATATTTAAGTTAATTTGTTACACATCAACACACACATATACCCCCTGCTATCAGGTGTCCAAATGAAAACAGTCTGTTCTGAATAATTTATTCCTGAGTCATCAGCTAGCTATCTTAAACAAATCCAAGAAAAGACCTTCAAAAGTTTTATCAAATATATCATGCATATTTTTACTTTTTTCCCCCTAAAGTCCTGGCTGTTAAATTACAGACTGGCACTAATACATGCATTTTCTTGATCACAGTAATAAAAGTACTACAGACTCCAAATTTACTCAAGAATAAACCCCACAGAGAGATCAATGAAAAAACTATAAAGCTATTGTGACCCTAAACCAAAGATTCAGTGAAGCAATATTTAAAAACATACAAATTTAACTCAAATGTTACCAGCTGATGAGAAACCTAATTAAGCAACGTGTGGTTGCTTATTCAATAAGAGCTAGATTCCAATATATTTATTCTAGGGCTGTCAAATTATTAAAAATATAATTGCAATAAATCACAAGATTAAAAATAATAGAACTGTGATTAATCGTGACTAATAGCACTAACAAACAATAACAGAATACCAATTTAAATTTATTATAAATATTTTTGGATGTTTCTCTACATTTTCAAATATATTGATTTCAATTACAACACAGAATACAAAGTGTACAGTGTTCACTTTCTTTTTTTACAGTACAAATAATATAAACAAAAGAAATAGTATTTTTCAGTTCACCTCTTACAAGTACTGTAGTACAATCTCTTTATTGTGAAAGTGCAACTTACAAATGTAGAATTATTATTATTGTTTTAAATAACTCCATTCAAAAACAAAACAATGTAAAACTTCAGAGCCTACAAGTGGAAGCATGAAGGGGCATACGAATGTTTAGCATATCTGGCAAGTAAATACCTTGCAACACCAGCTACAACAGTGCCACTTTCAGGTGGCATTGTAAATAAGAAACGGGCAGCACTATCTCCCGTAAATGTAAACCAACTTGTTTGTCTTGGCGATTAGCTGAACAAGAAGTAGGACCAAGTGGATTTACATGAGGTGAATTGAAAAATATTTCTTTTGTTTATCTTTTTTACAGTGCAAGTATTTGTAATAAAAATAATAATTTAAAGTGAGCACTGTACACTTTGTATTCTGTGTTGTAATTGAAATCAATGTATTCATACTGAATAGTCCCTTAACTCACTGAGTAGATCAGATTTTGGCCTTTATAAAGTAAATGAGAATTTGCTGGATGTACTTTAGAGAAAATGCTAGTTTAGAAATAGATTTCCACAATCCTCTGTCTTAAGCATATTTGAAATATGAAACGGACTTGCTAAGATAATTCAAGTGAGTCATGAATATTGTTAATAGAAATGGAATCCTTTTGCTGTGATTTTTTTTAAATAGAAATCAAATTTCTCAGAAATGCCTGTTACGTTTTCCCTTCCCAGGTCATGGTTCCTTTGCCTGCCTCCCTCTCAAGAATGACAGACTATAAAAGTATTTGTAAATTAGTTTGTTATTGAAGGAATCCAGTGAGGGGAAAAATTCCAACAAGGACTAATTATATACATACATACATACACACCTATATCTAGTGCCACTCTTTTTAATGGTCAGGGTTTTTTTCATTTGCTATTAATGGGATGCACTCATTTCTAACCTTAAAACATGGGAAAAAATGATAAGATTGGGTAGAAAATGTTAAAGCTCTTACATATTATAGTGCTGGGTCACTTTAGAAATGCATAGCTAGAGAATGTCCACTGTATTGAAAATGCACAAGAAATCTGGACACAAGATGAGGATCGAACAAACAGGCTGTCACATAAAATGCTATTCATTAAGCAAAGTAAATGCTGCTTCAGTAGGATTCTCATTCTCTCTGTTTGCACATCTTCCAGCCACATTCTGATCTCAGTTAGAACTAAGTCAGTGGATACTAAGGGCAGATGTAATGGGGTAGAAATTGACCTTGTATGCTTAGCATATACTTGGTTTTGCTTTAAAGTGATATTTGGATTTTTTTTTAATTTTGTATTAAACTGAGTGAATCATACTAACTATGCTGTTAAAATAAAAGATTCCAAGGTTTGCAAAAACATTGCAAAGGAAGAGATACCAAATCGAAAACCATTTCCTATCTAAAGAGAATAAAAATTCATAATGAGAAAACAGGTTATTTGGTTATCTAGGTAACTGAAATATAAATGTTTAAAAAGAGCTGCAGACTTAAAAATTGAGAATCCAAGCTCAAGTTTCCTGCAGTTGGGTGGAAGAAGTCATCTCTTTCAAATAGATTGTGACTACATAGAGTAGCAGTCACAATGACAAAACTGCAAATAGAACTTTATGATTGGTCTTTATTTTATGAAAACTATATTTCACGAGTCTAATCCTAAATTAAAAGCATCTGCAGATTTCCCCATAGTAAATATTGCCCATAGCAAACCTGGTGCCTTGTAGTTATATCCAATACTAGCATTTGTTTATAGTTAACAACAACATGCTATAGTTTTAGCATATTCTGCATATGGCAACAGAGAAAACTTTCAAAATAATTCTAGCATAAAAACCAGGAAGACTGAATGAGTGAGTGTTTGCGTTCTACACCTCAGGACACCCTGAACTGAAGTTAAAAAGGTTAGGAATTGGATTTGAGAGATCAATTCTGGACTATGTGGGGAAACCAGATTACACCAAAGAAGGTGAGCACAGGTGCAAGCACAGTGAGAAGTTGGGAGGTAACAAGTACAATGACTGGGTTTGCATGCATTCCATTAATCAAGAGGTAAAAGGTTTTAGTGTCTGAGTTTCCCAAGATCAGATCTTTTAAGTTTTAAAAACAAGGATAGCTCACCTGCCCATTTTTCCCCAGCTCCATTTCAACAATTGCAACAGGGGTGTTTATTTGATCGACGTGTCTTGACTGCGATTTCAAATCCACTCTCCAGTTCATGTTTTTCAAGGTGTTGTCCCACCTACTTTGATTTATCAGACTCTCTCGAATTTTTGTTCTGTGGTTTTTCCAAAATTTTGCAATGACTGCAGCCTGATCTGCTGTGATACCTCCCTGCTTTTTGGTTTGGGCAGTAAGAAAGGCCTCCAGCTGGTTCAAATCCATGTCTGCTGAAGCTACAGACTGGGGAGAAAAAAAAAGAAAGAAAAGCCTGCTTGAATGTATTTTTTCACAATCTAAACAATCTACAAAAAGAGCACATCCATACGGTTTCAAACTTTTATGAAAGTCATTTTGTACAAGAATATTGTGGGCAAATCTAGGAACCCTGCAAAAGCCATTCAGTTGACTGTTGTGTGCAACTTTCTCCCTATTAATTACCCCAAACTTTTACACCACATCATCTGGAGGGGCTTAGTCCCATAGGGAACAGTGGTGAAGAATTAGGTAGCACGTACAGAAACAGTGTGTTTGTGGAGGAAAGTTAGGGATAGTGGATGGGGGAGCGTGCAGGGTTTCCCCAATCAAGACTGAGACAGATGGAGAGAAACCCTGATTCACTAGAGTGCTCACATTACTGCCACAGTACTCTCAAAGCAGCTCAATCTCCACATCATAGGACAAGACATGGAGGTAGGTTTGCCCTCGTTTTGGAACCTGTCCTGCATCTTCAAAGTACCCAGTAAAAAACAAGGCAAGCTATTCCATGTGTTCCTTATGTCCCAAAAATATTTCCACCTTCATTCCATGTAGTATTTAAAGGTATCCTCGTGTTAATAATTATACACCTATGAACTAATTTTTAAACGTAACTAAGTATTATTCTGAAGTATCAGTGGATTCTGTTTCATATACTGTGTCTGTGTGCTACAAGGAAGCTCCATTTGGTTATTTAGTCCTCCTCTCAACACTGACAGAAATGATTATTCAAAAACTGTCTCTGATAGATGTCAAATCTGACTTTTTCTCCAATGATGATGATTCTAGAGCCTCAATTTTTCATTGTCTAACTGGGAGGGGGGGGGGGGGGCATGGATCAGCGTTCACATCACACTCCGCGTCAGTACCAGGCCCAGGCCGGGGAAGCTAATGATCCAACCAGCAGACCAAATTTGGTGATGACTCCTGGTCATGTGCCACATGAGGCACATTGTGCATACATTAAGACGACGACTGTTCAGACTGCCATAGCGTTTTCTCCTAACATTTAACCTAAGTTTTCTTTTCTGCAACTTAAAACAGTTACCTTTTGTCTTGCCTTCAGTGACAAATGCATGTAACTGATCCCTGTCTTCAAGATCATAGAATCAATTAGAGAATCATAAAACTGGAAGGGACCTCGAGAGATCATCTAGTCCAATCCCCTGTACTCATGTCAGGACTAAGTATTATCTTTATGGAGATAAAGGAGGGAGTGAGACAAGACTAAAAACCACTATCCTCAGTTTTTAACCTCTATTGATAGGTCTAATTTCCATGCCATTTTATTCTTGTTGCTCTACTATATACTCTAGGGGCAAAATCCTGGAAGGTGCTAAACACTGCTGATCCCACTGAAAATCCTTGGGAGTTGAGGTCTCTCAGCACCTTCCAGGATGAGACCTAATTTGTCCCTTTTAAAAACTGCACTACCCAAAACTGAACCAGTGCTCCTACTGGGGCCTATACAATGCGGAGAAGAAAGGAATAACGATCTTGTTCCCAAATTCTAATCCAGCTCAGATATTGGTAGTTTGTGTGGTTTTGGACAAGTCACAAACTATGCATCTCAGCTTCTCCATCGGTAAAGTGAGGATAATAATTATGTACCCGGGAGAGGTATTGCAAACTAGTTAATATTTTGTAAAGCCCTTTGAATAAGTATTAATTTTCCCTTCCTCCCACCCCCTTTTCATCCTTAATAGTCTGGGATCAGAGGATAAGAGGGAGGGAGGTGTTGCCAGATGCTGGGACTGACCAACAGAGGATGGATCACTTGGTAATTGCCCTGTTCTGTTCATTCCTCTGAAGCACCTGGAATTAGCCACTGTTGGAAGACAGGATACTGGGTTAAATGAACCGCTGGTCTGACTCAGTATGGCCATTCTTATGTTCTTATGCTGCTCAGGCAGGGTTCATTACTTTCTTACAGATTGGCTGGGTGTAGCAGTAGATGATTAAAAAAAATTAAACTAGATTGAAACTAACTAGACTGGCTGGCAAAAGAAATGAGAGGTTTATGTACAGCCCAATACAAGAAAGGGGGCACACATTATAAAAAGTTCTGGATAATGACAGCAGGATTCTGCTACCCACAACACATACAGCCAATAACAGTATATGCTTACATCTAAGTATATACACCACATACTCCATTGCGTGTGTATTTTTCAGAAGAAAAACAAGTTGTATCCATAATGGGATTCTGTTTTGCCTGCTAGAATAGAAAGCATTTTTTCTGAAGCTTTCACAATTTTCTTTAAAGAAGGCAACTATACCACAGAATTCTCAAACTGGCCTAGTTGCTACCTCTTGTGTGATTTAAAGGCTTTTAAAATGAAAAAAAAAATGAAAAAACCCTTCAATATGTCTAGTACACATCTCTAATACTTATTTCTCTAATGTGACCAATATTTGTGCAGACTTTGTTTGCTTTTATGGCAGAGATATTTATCTCAATTTACTCTAATGGTCCTGTAAGTGGAAAGAGAGTACCAGTCTTCATTTGCCAAAAGAAAAATTGGTTTCAAATGTCTTTTTTTTTTTTGCATGCAGAAGACTGTCAGTTAACAGGAGTGTGAAATATTTTCTATCATTTTATCAATATGAAAAATATCCTGTCTGCGCATATATGTGTTACCAGTTATCTGACATTTGTGTAAGTTGTGGGGAAGAATGGAGTAGGCCGGGAAAAAACCTATATAAACTTGATTATAGCAACACAAATAAAGAGCAAGACCAACTTGAGATACAAGTTCATTCATTCAACTATGCATAAAATTGGCTCCTGTTCTATTCCTCCTCAGACGCAGTAACATACATTACTGTGCACTGAACAAAGCAGGAGTCTTGTGGGGAAAAAAACGACGTGATCATGTAATGAAAGACTGCATCCTAATGCATATGCATATGTGGGCTAAAGTAAGGTTGCGCAGGTAGCCTTAATTCTGGGATTTCCTCACCTTCCTTCCTCACCTTCCTCCCATACCCTCCTCCCATCCAAGCTTCTGCCCCCCACCCCTGCATACGGCAACTCTCCCTGACCCCTGTACTTCACCTTTCTGCATTCCAGGCAGAGGACCATTAAGAGCACAGAAGGGAGTCTCCCTGCTCTCAGTTACTGTGTCTGGTGCCACAGCAGCTCATGGCAGTCAGGAGGCACAACTGCAGGGAAAGTCCTGCTCAGCCCCTGCTGCCCTGGAATGGAGCGTGTTCAGCATAGGTGGTGGATATAAAAGGCCTGGGGAGGTTAAGCCTCCCCTGGCGCAGCCACTGAGGACCCGCTCCCGGATGCCTGGACCATGGCAGCCCCGCCTGTGCTCCGTCTCTTCCCCTCCTCTCCACCCCCCTCACCAGATGTCCCCGTTGCTCACCACGTCCCTCCTCTCCTCCACCCCCATGAGGCCCCCCCAGCCGCAATGTCCCTAAGGACGGTGGGGGGCCTCGCAGTGGAGGGGGGTGGAGAAGAGGAGTAACATGGCGGGCACCTCACAAGGGACAGGGTGGAGAAGAGGAAAGATGTGAAGAGCAGTGGCGGGGGGGGCGAGCGGGGGGGGGGGCTGGGGCAGGGCAGGGGGGGGGGGGGGGGGGGGG